AAAACATTATGAAGCAAATATTGTTATATATTGAACCAAACAGATTTTGAGCGGCACTATCGGTATATTAAAGGTCATTAAGCGCAATTGAAGGGTCCGGTACAACAAGGCATTCTACTTTTTCGAAATGGCGTTTAACATAGCCTGAATAGTGGAAAATTTGCCCATTTCGGTAATAACGATATATCTCCGACTATTAAATACGCTAATATCATACAAAAGGAGATATCTGTTTTAAATACCTCTGGCAAGAACTTAGTATTCCCTGGAGATACCTGTTTATGCTCAGAAATATGGCAATACTGTACTTAAGCATTTTCTGCAAGAATGTATCATCTCCGGAGACACCTTGTTTATACCCGAAAAGCCAGTATCATTTTAAGAATATTTTCATATTTATTATGTGCGTCAGTTAATAGGTCACTAATATGCTCCAGACTATATTCTAAAATGAACATCCTACCTACCAAAGTAGTTTTGTTAGATTTTTAGTGTAAAGTGATAATCAAAGCCAACATTAATGAATGCACAGACCAAAAGTTTCTTATATTATTGCAAACCAGGTATCTCCTTAAAACACATAGCTACCAATTTAGATCATATAAAGGTTGTGATAGTTGATGATTTGATTATAGCAGTTACCATACATTTGAAATGTTTTGAGATTATTCAATACATGATTGAAAGAATTTTGAGATAAAAACAAAACATGGATTTAATTTTGGGGCAAGAACCTATATCATTCCACTCAAATTAAACTTGAATTAATTAATTACAATACGCAACTGAAATCCAGCAACAAGATATGTATTATAAATACATTTTTTTAGTCAATACAAAAACTCATGAAATGAACGTCAATATTAATAATATTTGTACAATACAAATATATAAAAAAAAATCATACACATAGATACACGTCAATAACGTCAATCGACAATAATACATAAAAATATAAAAGTATGATTAATATTTATGTTTTACTATAATAATAAGAAACTGATTTTAAAAATTCTTTGCTAGTAATTTTTATTACGCCCTACGTCGAGTTGGGATAGGTACTATTATATCAGCTTGTAGTTTGTCGTATTTTCCCGTAATTTCGTATACGTTTTGCTTTGAATTAAGTATATTTGAATGTACATCAGTTAGCTAATAGCTATATTTAATTGTTTATATACATATGTAACTTTTTCCGCCATGTAGGAACTTATACATATCATGTCCGTTTAAAAATAAGGAATCTAAAATATAAGTAGCGCAATTTGTGTACTGACCTAAAATTTAAGCGGCGCAATTGGTATATACTGACCTAAAGTAATATTTGTACTTTTAGGCGCAACTGGTCCATGCCCGTGCAGAGTAACCCCTAACATAACCACGCATCGCCGTGGTCACCGATGTGGCTCGCAGTTCCGATTTTCGTTCGGTAGTTAGTAGGATTAGATTAGATTAAAGTACCGCAACTGGTAATAATGTGATACCATATACATATGAAAATAAAGTTCAGTGTACACGGTTGTGTATTAGTTAACATTATTATTTCGACGTCAATAAGTTCTCGTCATCCTTCTATCTGGATTTTTACCGCGGATTCACTGAAAAAGGAAGAAAGCTTAAACCGTCTAAAAGTATATCGTTGACATCGAACCCCCGGCGAAAGAAAAAATACGAAAATTCTGCAATTCAACTTAAAGCCATAAGTGACTATGAAAATCGGTCAATTGACGACTACCCTGCGTGAAATTTCATATAATTTTCAATATCATTTAATTGTTATTATTTTTAATTTTCTACCTACTTTATTTTTATTTTATAAGTATGACCGTGTATTTTGTAGAAGTAAAATAAAAATGAAATAAAATTATACTATATGCATAGGTATATCATAAATTATAATATATTAATATTATATTTTTCACGTTTTTGACATCGCGAAATTTTTGTGTTCACACTTTTACAGCGACATTATGCGTATAATATACACGAGCGCGTGCGCTGACACGGTCACTGTAGGGCATTCGACTGATGACGAGTTATTCTCTCCAAGGTCATATTTTATTACGATAAAATAAATTTTGTGATTTGCGTCACGTCATAACTGATGGGGTACTATCCCGCATTATGCGATTTTGTATACAATAGTTCTATATAAGTACTCATATTATGAAGATGTATATTATACAAAGCTTTACTTTTTGTAATATCTATTCTATAAGCGTGATAAAATTACGTACTTTTTATCTGCGTACAGCAAATATTTTATACACTGTTGGTTTTATAAAGAAATCCACAGTAATTATCCTGTAATGTCTTTAATGATTAATGATTTACCTGCACTACTCATAATTATTAGTATATAATAATATTATATACGTTAAAAATACATGATGTTATAAGTTATTAATTATAATATTATAATATGTTTATTTCAAAAGTACTTTTAATAATAGGTGCGTAGGTACCAATTGAAGTCTTAATCTGTTTATAACGCCGTGAGGTACTGTATATATTAAACTACAGTATAATTAATTTTCGTATAATAAAATTATAATGTATTGATAAGGATATATATTATATTACATAATAATTTAACTAGTTTAAGTTATTTTAAATAAGCCAACGTTTTTTTTTTTTTTTTATAGGTAAAAGAAATATACAACTATACAAAATGTTGCACAACAAGTGTCAAGTATTAATGATGTAGGTGGTTTACATATCGTGAAAGAGGCGCGATGTAGGAGGACTCCCAATGGAGCTAACTACGAGTATTTAGGGGAATTTTTTATAAGCCAACGTTATAAAATATTTTTTGTTATCAATCATATTGAGTTTTCTCAAATATAAAAATACGCAATCGTGTAGTATACGAATCGAGTGTAGGTATTACTTACGATCGAATACAACTATAGATAAATTACAAGCTCGACTGTTAAGGAGCATCAAGTAAGTCCAAAAATACAGCACAATAGTCGATTGCTTCAAGTGATTAGCATTAGCAGCATTTTCCGTTCCCGTGGAAATCGTTTTTTGGGAGATTGTTTTTACTTAAGACCTAAGGCCCACGAGGAGGTAGGAGACAGCGTAAAAGGTAACTTCGAAAAACCACTTACCAGACTCACAGGCCGAATGAATAACCGTCCAATCCAGGTCGTCGTTGTACAGATCCACGACAACGGAGCCGTGTTCGAGCATGAGCCGCATCAGCGACACGTTGTTGCGGGCGACGGCCAATTGCAGAGGCGCCCGAGAAGAGCCGGGCGTACGGTTCACGCAGGCTCCCGCTAACACCATCAGCCTGGCCACCGTATCTTTTTGCCAGTGCAGCGCGGTCAACAGCGGCGTTCGGGACTTGTGATCGAAGATGTCTATGCTGGCGCCAGCCCGGAGCAACACCGCAGCCGCCTCCTCGTTTCCCCGTTTGGCGGCCAAGTGCAGCGCCGTTTCCTGTTTGTACGTCCGGAAGTCGATCAGTTTTCGGTCGTTAGTTCGCAATACCATCGTCTGTAGGATCTGGACGGGGAACTCGTAAAATACGGCGAAATGTAGGCACGTCCAACTGCGCAAGCATACACAAAAATGTCAATGTTAAACAAATACAACGTCAATTTTTTAACGATAAAACTCATATATAATATTATAAATAGTCAATTTATAATATTCTAAAAATGTCATTGTAACTACACTGTTATTATTATATTTGATTATGGAGATAAATTTTGCATAACAGTGTGAAGCATCTTTTCAAACTTATTCAAATAGTAAAATTTACAAAATGAATAACAACGTTCTTTTAACTTTTGCTGTAAATACACACAAGACCAAAAGAGTGTTGATTTAACATTAAAGTTATTCAATTTTACATCATATAGTGTTATTTTGTAATCGTTTACAACGGCATTTTCTTCGCTTGTTGTCACAAAAAAAAAAAAAAAAAAAAAATACCCAAGGAACGTTGATCAAATTTTGCACAATTTGTAATTTTACTTTAGACTCTACACTACAATGTGCACTAGAACAATATTATTACAACAAGTAGAACAGTTATTTCGATGATGTACTTTGTATTGTTTTCCAGAGCTAGGTTACTATCTGCTTGATGATCGTTGTTAAACACATACGGATTTTCGAATCGTGATTCTGCACAATAAAAAGTTTTTATCTTATATTTTTGGAAATTTTAATGTCGTTTTTTCGATTAATTTTTCGATGAGTATTCAAGGGTTTTTATGGTATTTAACACAACAAATCCGATTTTTTTATTAGATATTAAACTTTGAGAGTTTTACTTGGCAAGTAAACTTATAACGTGCCAATAACAAGATTTTTACCTCATCATTATTAATAATCGTTATTTTTCGTTCAAATCCGTACGACGTAAAAATCGATATAACAAGTGACGACGAAAGGACTAAAGGAAAGTAATTGGAATATTTACTTTACAAGACACGGTTAAATCGATAGTAACGAGTAAGTTACATCAATGCTCAAATTTTAGTGCGTTCAAATTACCCGTATAGGTCGTGTACTGCGAGATCTGCACCCTTCTCCAGCAAGAATTGCACTACCCTCACGTGCTTTCTCTTCGTGGCCAACAGCAGTGCCGTGAGTCCTGTCGACGCGTCCTTGTATTCTATGTCTGCTCCGCGGTTGAGCAGCTTATTCATCAGTATAGTGTTGTCTCGCATCGCGGCTTTGTAAAACGCCTTGTTAACTACGCTTTTCGGAATGTCGCAGTCTGTCAGTACGTTTAAACATCGTCTGCGAAAAGAGACAAGGCACATTACCAGCCGTTTATTATCATTGGCGATGAGGGAAATATTTTACCGTAAATATAACGTTCAATAAAATTACCGTAATTTTTTTTTTTTTTTTATGGTCATTAGTGCAACACACTAGCTCAATACATTTGTTACGATGGCAGTGATATTTTTATTATTAACATTGTATCAGTCAACAACCAGCGGACATTTATAATATATTATATTATTGCTATTAAAAATAATATACTGTTATCATGCAAATCATTCTAGTATTAACTCAGTGTATCTTTACAATAATATTATGTAACACGCCCACCCGTACTCTTAACCGAAAAATGTAACGGTTTTACAATAACGTGTTTTTTGTGTATGTGTATACTACATACGATTCATGAAGTAGAAAAAATGATTTTCAAAAGTCAACATTAAAAACTCCTGTATTTTTCAAAATTATCGAGAAAAGAATTTTTAGACAAAACTAGTTTTTATCAAAATCAATTTTGCTATACTCAAAAACGAATAATCATTAATATATTTTATTTTAACCAAATTTTATATTATTATTATAATATCTTTACTCTTTTCGACTAGTTGATAGGAATACAATGACGAATTCGACTATTGATTTTGTCGAACCTTAAGAATTGTTAAATGGTACGGAGATGTGATCTTATTTTACGTATTATTATTGTTATTATTCCTTATTATTACCTACCTATTAATAATATGAATTTTTCGTCTATGAAATATTTGTATCGACGAAACATTCAAAATAAAGAAAACATACCTACTGCAACGAAGAGGTTACCTATATACTTTCCATTTTTCTAACTAATACCCCGTGGCAAAAAATAATACCCCCCCCCCCCCAAGTGACACCATTACCTTAAAAGTGTACGACATTACAACATTTTTGGCGCCAATATTAAAACTGATATTCACAAATAAATATTATGTACTTTTCGTTCATCAACGTAGCCAAGTTCGACGGCTTGTGGTCAGCACTGTCCATGACGGCCGAGTCGGTGCCGTGACCAATGAGCAGCCCGATCACTTGATGTCTGCAGTGCAACATACACAAACGCGCAGGCGTCTTCATGTACTTGTTTCCGGTGTTGGGGTCGGCACCGCGGTTCAGCAGCAACCGGACGATGCGCTGGTGGGTGGACTGCGCGGCCACGTGCACCGGATGGTCGGCCGCCCGGCCGGTGGGATGGTGAGCCAAGCGTCGGTTGCGCGTAATCGACCGCTTCGCCGCCGAGTAGTTTCCCAGCTCGATCGCGCCCCGAAGATCCGAGGCTGACGTCCGCTTCCGGTAGTAGCGCCGCAGCACGCGCATAACGCGATTTATTCTTATTTTGAGGATAATATTATTCACCTTCGTCCTTTGCCACGGTCCGTTTTCATGTGTTTCGATCAAGTCATCCCTTCGCATACATAATGCGTTTATAATACCTGAATTGAAACAAAACAATATAATAATAGATTAAAAAATATAATAGTATTATGTTTAATCGGTGTTCGAATTGCGAGAAAATATTATATGCGGATGAGTTAATCCAGAAATAACAACTATTTTAAATATGTATACATTATATTGTATTATATACGATTTGTTTTTAGAAAACTTTAATCTACCGTACAACTAATATAAATATAAATTAATTATTAAATTAATAATATAAATTATTCACATAATAACATATCCTAAAAAATATAGGCTGACAGACGGTTTCCGCTCAGAATCAGAACTTTTGAATTACAACATACCTAATACTTTATTCAAGTATCGCTGTTATTTTTCTTTAAACACAGATTAAAGAAACAAAAAAAATAATTATATACCTAGTTCTCTTTTATCTATGCAAATACAAATAAAATATACAACGATAAAAATAAACATCACAGCATACGACTGAAAAAACACTTATTATAAGTATGTGTATAAGCATGGGCGGAAATTGAGGGCTTTAGAGGCCAAGCCCCTCAAAACATACAAACAGATAAATTAGCCCCCATCAAACAAACTAAGTGGTTACTGGTCACTACTATAAATAATAAATACATAGACTTTCATTTAAAATATTGTTGGAACACCGGCATAATAAGAACAATTATATGAAAAAAAAATATCGGTGATCAATAAAACTTTAATTTACCTATCTTACTTATCTCTCAAAAGAAATAGTTAACAAACACTAATATAATAAATAATAAACATATTGAATACAAAAATTTATGTATGAATGTATGATATATATATATAAATGTCTAAAATAAATTACCAAGGGCATCAACTGTGTGGTTGCACCCGTTACTTTTAAAATAGTACTAATTGGCCTGTGCCATACTGAGATGTTTAAAATTAAAAATTTTCTTAAAAAGTATTTTTATTTTGACATTTATCAATATTGATGTACTGTCAATTATTATGATTGTTAATTATTTATTATATTTTAGATTTTAAATTAATATTTATATTAATGCAAATAATTCAGTACATGCGATGTATGGAAATAATTGAAAGCAGGATTATGTACATAAACGTATCTATTTTCATATGGCCATATTACAAAATGGCTTACTTGAAACTTCGCACACCACAAAAAAAAACTTGAAATTACAGTATTGATCTAAAAACGAATATGAAGTTTCAAAATTCAAAATTTATTCCTTTACTTAGATTTCGCATCAAATGTGGTTTTCATTGAAAAACAGTTTTTCGAGTCCTTTTGTTGTAATTTTTTCGAAAATCAAATTAATAAGTACATTAAAAGGTAGAGCGACATTCAACTAAACATTATAACTTGTTTTAAACAAATTTACAAACACCTTACACTCTAAAAAAGAAAAATTATTAGGTTTTTAATAAAAAAAAAAACCAACAGGTAACTGTGAGCTGTAAAAGAAAAAAAAATGTAAAATTTAACTTTTTTTTATGCACATTATTTTCTGGTATCTCATTTAATCATATCACCCTTTGGTTTTTCAAGGCATTTATTATAAACATTAGGTTTATTTAATTCATGTAGGTATAATATGTTTGCGAGTACAGAGAGTGGCTTTAATATGCAATAAGTATTTTTAAATATCAGTCTTCTCTAAAAAGATAGTTTATTTTTGCCTGTTTAAAAGATATTTTAATGATATAGACAAAAGGCATTTGAAATTCAGTAGCCAATATTTTAAAAGCCCACGAACGCAATTGAGGTTTAATATTTAAAACATGAATACTACGGTCTATTTACCAATTTCATTCAATGTTGCCAGAAGAAATAAATAAATATGTGAAAACAAATTTTAAAATAATGTATGGTCGGTTGAAGTGTTATTAAGTATGTTGTGGTGAAGAATTACTATTTTGTCGTAAACTTAACGGTCGTCTTAATTATCAATTCGACCTACATCCGGTCATACTTAAAATTTAATTCAATAATAATAGAAACGCGCGTTTGTGCGGACGGGAAAAAAATAAAAATCTGTCTAATTGAAACGTATAGAATTACTTAAAAGAGTGTGACAAATTCGGACACTGTCAACGTTTGGCCTTTCCAGACGTTTTTGTCGAAGGGGTCTTTTAATTGTTCCAAAAACTAATTCATTGAAGTTTATTAGAATTCATTATGACAATATAACGAGATTTTCAACCTCGGGAAAAGAATTTTAATTTGAACATTTAGACGTCTGGCAGTCGATCCCGGTCGGGACCGATCACATCGACGATAATTGCCATCAAAATATTATCAATTAATATCGACTATTTTAGTTGTATTACACTTACTGAAAAAACATTATTTTCACACATAAGCCTATTTGTTTTAAACTATAACTTTTATTTAATGAGTGATCCTAAAACAGCGTTTTTGACAAAATTATTGAATTAACAAAAAAATTACATAATTGCATTCGTACCATTTGCGTCATTAACACTGAATTCGTTCGAATTATCAACTCTATCGCGGTTGTATTCAATTTTAATTATTGGAATTTCATATTTTTAATATTCATATTGACACCGTCGACGAATGGAATTTTATTATTATAGAAAAGTGCGTGACGCACCGTGTATTACACGTGCCGCGTTTTACGAATAACCAATTAAACACCTATTTCGTTTCAACGAAGTGAAATTAAGTAAAGACAAAAAGGACTGCCTTTAGTAAAAAGTGATGGCCAATGATTAACAATAATTGTAATTAATAAAGACGACATAAAAATAACGTATTAAACAATATTAATAGTAGTACTCACAGTTTTCTCAACCGCGACCTCGTTCCGCCAACGGTTTTAATTTGACGACTAAAACGACCGAACTTATTGAAAACCAATACTGTAAAATCCGATTACAAGTTAACGTAAATAGATAAGAGAAGTTCCTAATAATAACAGTACCTACGCGTTGCGCGTACAGTGTGATTTAGTTTCACCACGAACCGTGCAGATAATATTAATATGTGAATCCCCAGACATTATCTGTGGGCGTTACGATGCATTTTATAGCGATGTATCATATTAATATTATGATAAACAATAAACTATTATTTCAGGGTGATGTCGTTAATTTTTTTCATGACCAAAATAAAGTTCACATATTTTAAAAGTGCAATATAAATGTTTTAATGAGATATTGACCGGTTCAATATCGCTCTGTATATGTATTATACACAACGCTGTTGTGTGATCCGATAATCAAACAGGTATTTTAAACCGAATGATATTATAATACTTTATTACTATCGTGCCCTATCCACCCGAACGAGATAATATTTCATTTTACTTTACGGTCTTATTTTACTCGTGCGAAGTGCTACCACTGGGTACCACCACAGCACCTCCCCACCCAGCACAGCGGTAGGTACAGCCGTTCATGGGATTAAATACGCGTACGTTGTACCTATAATAATATTATTAAACCCACAACGTGAATTTTATTTTGTTGTAATTTTTTTAATTATGATTTAATTACATCATACTGCAGCAACTGTTAATAGCTAAATAACATATTACTATTTATAACGTACAGTACCTATATTGGCTATATTTCCGTTTAGGTTTCGAAGAAATCCGTACAGAGTATATTATTATTTATTATCATACTAATATAATTGAATATAATTTATACTATTATATATATATATATATATATATATATATATATATAATTTATACTATTATATATATATATATAATTAAATATTAGATATTAAAGTGTCTGATAAACGTTGCGCATTCTTAACATTCAAGTATCCAGTTATGAGGAACTAAACCGTGTTAATGTTAGGAATTTAGGATTATGAATTGTAATAGTTATTATTGTTTAAATTTTATCAATTATTGTAATTTATAACTGATAATTATTAGAAAAATAATATTATCTAGATTCTACTGATTCTAGATTTCAGAATTTTATTTAGATGCATTACGTATGTGTGTGTGAACTATGAACGTCGCGGCGTCGATCAGTTAATTTTTCAAAATAAGTGACATTTGTCAATAACTATATTGTCTATATTAATATATGGGTCACCATTTTTCAATAAAGCACACGTCAAGCGGCTTTTACAAAATTATATGTTCATATAAGCTATATTCGATTATCCGACTAAATTTAATATCGAGTTATTATATCATTTTCTATAGTAACCTTATTAAAATTTAACATGAAATAATTTGAAAAAGAATAAAAATTTTTAATAATTATTTACGATTGGGTAGATGTATAAAATAAATTATTTCTACAACTTAGATATTTATGTATGTAGGAACGACCTCAGAAAAAAAATCGTGGGGGTACAGTCTTCAAAATTGCTGACTAAAATTATTTTGACCTTTTTTTGTTTTTTACTGTCTATGTGCCCCCCTCCATAGAACATTTCTGAATCCGCTCTTGTCCCCCCCCCCCCCCCAAATAAGTTTATAAATACGCCACTAATATTTACATTTGCTAGTTGTACGATGAGTTGCATAATTTCAATAAGATTCATAATAAAATGGGATTTAACTTTAAAAACGAAAAAACACATACTTACTGAACATAGTTAAACAGCTACACTTACAATGATCTGTGGTTGCATATATTTTAGCAAACGTGCCATAAATGCAATTAAATAATTATATCGATATAGGTCATCCGCGGTACACATTATTATATGTTGAATTAAATTTTATCAATAAAATCTGCAAATTGAGCATATTTAATTTTATCAATAAAATCTGTAGCGATGCGTGGAGGATTCAAGACTATTCACATATTTCAATGATTTCAATGATATAATTTACAAAAATATTATTGTGAATAGACATACACAATTACAATGTAATATATTTACATATATATTATAATATTAACTTATATTATGTAGTACGCTAATATATTATATATTAAGTATATACTATGTATGTGTGTACAGTATGTAATATATTATATTTAAGGCTGTTTACCCTGTCGACGTGTAGATGTATGGACATTTCGTGGGACTATAAGAGAGTGGATAGGTGTGGGAGCCACAGTATAGGCGGAGGAATGGGGGGGGTTACTGGCCAGTCGCCCTGATTACGCGGGTTGGCGAGGTGGGTGGGGGAGCCAGTTTAGGTGGGGAGTGGGTCGGGAGCCATTGTATAGGCCAGTGGAGTAGGAAGAAGGAGTCACTGGGTTGACGGGGGCTGAAGTTGAGGAGTTCAGAACAGGCTATTTCGTACTACTAATAACAATAATAATAATTGATGCGATGATCATATCTTCATCACGCGGATCCGGGGCTTGGAGAGTTGATGAATACGAAGCAATGGCTAGTAAATAAGTGACAATGGCTTCATGGAAAAGCACTTTTTATCGTCGTCCGCTTTTGGTATTGGCTGGTATTTAGCCAATCGTTCAATGTTTTTCGACGCCTCATACTTAAGAACTGCATTAGATACGCTGCAGTTTCAGTTCTTGCTAGTTGAGGCGGTGGATGATTAACTTCAATTTTTTATCGGGAGAATTAGAGCCCTTTTTGCACTATGGAATCTGGTGACCAACTTCTGTGAAATAGTATGTACGATATAATGATATTGTGATATGTATTGTATACACACAGCGTCGTGGATAATACGAAGACGAACTCAAATGAAAATAATTAGACACTTACCCCCACACCTCCTCAAAAGACGGCCCTATATGTATTATTTCAATATTCTACTTAAAAAAATATTAAAAGAAATTACAATATTTGATAGTTGTATCACATTATATCACGACATCATGAAATCGTACATCTTAATGTGATTCAGCTATAAAGTAAAAAGTAAGGTGCCTATCCATCCTATTCTATGATAATTTAAACTGTGTCTAATGTGTGCAGTCGGAGGCACATTAATATTTGCACAGAATCGTCTATTTGACCTCGAGAAAAAAAGGGTAACTACCTGAAATATAATACTTAGTCACTGTATGATCGGTAATAATTAAAGTAATCACTAGTCCGTACTCCGTACTATATGCGTATGTAATAAAGCCAATATCTGACTATAATATTATTGTGGAACATAAAATCTGTGTAATAATCAATACTGCATTGATTAAGCTTAAATTGTAGTCTTGGTTTACTTTAGATGACACGAATGTATGTCATGTACATTTGAATCGAGCTATATAATAATATGTAGGTTTACATTATGTGTTTTATATATTTATTTTTTATACAATACGACTATTGACTGGGAACTATGGAGAAGACGGTATAACATTTTTAATCCCGAAAACATTACCATGCCCATATAATACCTATAGGTATACTTGTAATAATTATTTACAATACCAACGTGATTTTAATAAAACTAAAATAAAGTAAACAATATACCTATTGGTAGAATAATTTATATTGATGACTGATGTATACATTATGTTATCTCTAATATAAAACGAAAAAAATTAATGCCACTTAAATGATTTCGGATTTTCGAAGCTGAATTTAATTCTCATTACGCCCCGTCACCCTCAACCACGCAGATGGTTGGCGCATATTACATAATTATATATTATATGTGGTCGCTATGTAACATCTTCATCGTCTTTTCATCACTAAAATCGTTAATTCCCCTCCATACCATAATACACGCGTTAATAAAAATAAGAAACATAATAACAATAAAATGCCCCATCAAAAAGCCAGTATATAACACGAATGTTTCGCGTAGCGGAAAGTCAACTTTTGTAGATTTCAAGTGCATTAGCAATACAGGGAATATCAAACGAATATCATATACATACAGATATATAGCATAGACTTACAGAATAATATGTACAAGTACATCAATTTATATACATGTAGATATGTATATTTGTATATATATATATTATATACGTATGTACGCTGGTCGCGTTTCCCCTTTCCGGTTTAACCAACCGGCGGATTATTGTGCACACATCAGTTCCGGTCCCTCTGGGCTCGTGTTTGCTGTTGTCAAAATAAATTGATAACCGACTCAACAGCGGTGATGGGCCGGAGAAGGGTCGTACATATATACTCGTACAATCGACCATCCAATGACAATAAAAGGAATGTTCTGGAATAACGATATTTGACTAATCGCCGAATATTACCGTATACATTTATAACACATACGATTAGACGGTTTAGACTGAATGTATGGTCATTATTTTATAAATTATGATAAATTCACAATATTATTTTGATTTAATGTAGAGTTTGAATTGCCCAAATAATAAGTAATATCATTCATTTTTGTTTTTAACAATGTCGTCATAATAATGTCTTCAACATCAGTATTATTCAATACGATTTTATCTGCAGCACTAAGCAATAGGTATGCCTTTCTAATTATTATTTGTATAAACAGCTCGCTGCCCTTATTAACCTGCAGCTACAATATACAGGGAAAACTTCCTATATTTTATTGTTAAAGTCTGTCACAACCAGTAGAGACAAGTAAATCGTTCTAAAAAAAGAGCAGACGATTTTGAAATTAATTAATGCGTTGTATTCGGAGTACCGAAAGTTTGTAGGAGACCTATAGATCCACAAACATAATTTGTGTGATCACGAAACAAAAATAAAAACAATTTCATAAGCTTGGAACAAAATATGGTTTACTTAAAGGATGGTTCAGTAGTAAATGTTTGAAAAAATCAACAATTCAATTTGTCACTAATGATCAAGTTAATATAAAAATGTTGAATTGTCAGTGTCAGAAATTTTGAAAAATATTTCAGAAGGGCAAAAATACCTTCCCAATCTAGTCAGAATGCATGTTTTAAAAATAACGTCTTATTTTAATGTAATAGTCTACG